ACTGGGAGGAGGCCCCGAGGAAGACCCAGGACACGCTGGAGGGACTATGTCTCTCGGCTGGCCTGGGAACGCCTTGGAGTTCCCCTGGAGGAGCTGGAAGAAGTGGCTGGGGAAAGGGAGGTCTGGGCCTCCCTTCTSAAGCTGCTGCCCCCGCAACCYGACTTCGGATAGRCAGAAGAAAATGGATGGATGGGATGGCTCTCCGAACATGTTTGTTTTAGTGACTGTAAACCTAAAAGCAGTAACACATACAAGCAGAGACGGCACAGGGGAAAATCAAAGAATCAGTAATTCATTAACAGAACAGGTGCCAAAACCAGATAGACAATAGAGCAAACTTTACAGACATACAACTCATGGAGGAMTTATTCATTCAGCTGCTTCTGCATCATTGGCATAAATGGTTTAGGTTCTGTGTGCAGTGTACATTCACAACACATGGATGTTGTCAGGATAAGAAAACAGTGCTGTGCAATGGTGTTGTAGTTTAATATTAGCCTATTGTTATTTCACAATGTTGTTTTTGAGAAAGACCTAAAGCATTAAACAATGATTCATGAAAATTAAAAATCAACCAAAGTACTTATATTAAAATACAGTAGTAAGAATAACTTTTAATCTTCTTCCTGTTTTGTCCTCCAGTCATTTTGTCCTTCCTCTTCAACATCCATATTGCTGTGACTCTGCTCATYGCTCTGATACCTCCTGTCAGCTACGTGGGACTTTGCTTTAAGCTCAAAGAAGACACTCAGATCACTATGGCAGCAGTTTTCAGCCTCTTATATGCAGTTCTTATGTCATTGTTGATAATGACCACTATCGGTATGTTGTTTCATAAAATTATAACTTAATGCAATTATGTGATGTTTGCTTTAAGTTACAAATTCTTTATGCAAATTTTTAATTCATAGTTAAAGATGATTTGAATTATAAAAGCTGATGTTTTTTTGTTTCCTACCAGGATCWATGGTTAAAGGACAAACCCTTCTGACCTCCAGCAGCCTATTCCTCCTTCCTTTGTGCATTCATTTAATCMTAACTGCGGTCGCACATCCTCAGGAAATTTCAAAGATGTTGTATGCCTGGTTCTACATCCTCTTTTTGCCAAGTTTTGACACCTTGCTTTTTATCTACACGGTGGTCAACATGAACTGCGTCCACTGGGGYACCAGAGAGACAATCCCTGATGATGGAACCCTCAACCCTGCAGCCCCACAGCCATCAAAAGCACAGAAATGTAAATTCAATGACCAAATCCTTATGCATTTACATTAAGCTTGTGTCATCAAGGTTAACAAATCTATCAATGGAAATGCTTGGCTGTGGAGTCTATTCATGTGGTAACGCTAACCGCAGGCTTTTAGACACAAATGACTGTTTTAGCCCTGACCAACTTAAGTAGACTCAGATCATCATCATAACCCAACCTAATTATTCATAAAATAGCAATAAAACAACATTAAACAGGAACCGTCACATAAATGATTGGCACCCAACATGGGACTTGAACCCATGACCCTGAGGTCTTTCTTGTAAATGAGAAAAAGAGTCTCAAGGGATCTTCTTGTACAAATAAAGGATGAATAAATAAATAAATAAAAATCATGTTCTAAAAGGTTTGTATAAGACACAAGGTTAGGTGGGTCCATTATTTTACCTGCTCAGCGTATCACGATCACTGTTGAACAGGTTGAATAATTTACTCATTGGACATCATGACTCGTTTCCATTGCTCTAAAGTCTAATCTTTAGTCTTCCAAACCAACAGAAGCTCTGTGTATTTTTACTTTGCTTCTGCAATAAGCTATTTTTAGGTTAAAAATGTACATGTTCTGATTAAGTTAGTTCTCTGTAGATTTATTATTGATGTAAGACTAAATGTTTTTCTGTCATAATTTGTTCTCCAGGTTGGACAACAGAACTGCAGAGTTTGTGTGGTGACATACAGCTGCAGGAGGATTCCCTCAGTAAGGTAATCTGAACAAAGCGTCACAATTAATAAAACTGAGCCGATAAATGTTATATTACTCCTTTATTTGTAACTTTGAATGAAACAACTTAAAAGTCTTTCTACAATCTATATTTCACAAATCTAATGCAAATCCACTGATATTTGTTTTTCTGCAGGAAGAAGAAATCTACTGGAAAATGCTGCAGGATAAGCTCCTGCAACCTTTTCAGTTTGACAAAGAGACCATTGAAAAGAATCAAAATGACCTGAAAGASTTTAGAAATAAGGTGAGTGTAATAACCTTAGCTGCTTTAATTAAAAATAAAGATACATCTAAAGTTATTCTCATTTTTCTTCTTCCYTACAGGTCAGTTTTTGGTATTTCTTTGGGAATGCTCTGTGGCTGCTCTCACTTTTTACCATCAACATCTTTAAAGTCTTACCCAGCTTGATCACTGTTGATGTCAACCATGAGGAAACTGGAGAATTAATCCAAGTTGAGTTTGTGGGTTTGACATATTTCCTGGGCCCTGCTTTGATACTTTGGCTCCAGGTTTTTGGCATGCTGTATTACAGGTGAGCACCTAGAAAAAATAAACTTTTCGTTTTCTCTGTTTTAATATTTAAAATAACCATTAGTCTATTTTCTGCTCCTATAGAGTTAACACAATCTTTGACTATATTGCATCTCTGGACACTGAGCCTGAACAACAGACATGGAAGAAAAAACATTCTTAAGGTATTTACTGTTGATGTTGGTACRAAAACAAATCCTGTTAATGTTATTCTGGATTTTTTTTTAACTACATCAAACAAATCCTGTTCCTGATGCCAAGTTGTTGTGGAAATATCTATTTAACAAGGACAGAAAWACATGATTCAAAGACTAAAGGCACATCATAGAATGGTCAGCTGAGGTTGTTTATTGCAATAAACAAGAACACATAAGTTTACACAGARCCATCAGGCTGTCTGATGGAGTTTTAGACGTAAATTCAACTCTGGCTCATTCAGCTCTCTTATTGCAYGCTCAGCCTCATCCAATCAAGATCCAGCAGTCTGAGATAAAAGCGTCCTCCTCAACTGCTCCGGCTGCTCTCCAGCTGAACGTCAACCWACCACCTCCCCTCCTCCATCCTTCATCTCCTACCTTCCAGGTGTCTCCCTCTCCTTCAACCACCACCAGTGTCCGGGCCCCAGGGCGGGAAGAAAACTCCTACCCCCTAACCTATTCAGCTCGTCCGAGCTTTCAACCTTTCACAGCGCTCGCATCTCATCTGGGGTCCGAGCGCCAAACCTGTCATTCATATCAATCTGTTCAATCACGGCAAAAAATCCATTCTAATTTCACGTTTTGTGTTCATGTGAGTCTTTTCAGGTTGAATTAAGATACCAACAGACAGATCTAATGGTTAACTTTATATACTGTTTCAATATATAGATGAGATCATGATGTCTCTCCCAGGCCAGGCACTGAGGTCAAAAGAAAAGAAAAATAACAGTGATTACTCTCATCAGATCTTGTTCTGCAAATAAAATATCCCTATCTGTTGATTACCAAAAGAACAGAATAAAACACAGTGACCTGATGTCATYGGGTCCAGGGCCATGCAGAGACCACTAAAGGKRCAGGTCCTCAAAGTAAAAAAAGGGCACAAATGACAGCACTGCATTGTAGTGTGRAATTTTAAGCAAGAAAAGTAAGGATGGAGATATAKACAGCTGAACCAAATCTAGGCAAAACTAAAATATCCACACCACCATACRTATGTGTTAAAWATKTATTTTCACTCTGCAGGACTCCTTTCATTACAGTGAAGTATTGAGATGTTTCAAACCTGCACATGAGCAACATATGTCAAATATAGAGTTATACTACCCGACAGATTTTGATTGTACACACAATCCTCCAAGAAAAAAGTCTGTATTAGTCACATGATCCAACTAGAGGGGSTGAGAAGAGGACTGTTGACTGTGGGGAAAGYCAGAATGSAGGGCAGAGATAAYAGCACCTGCAGCAGGGAGGRGGATGGGGAGAGGTGGCAAACTTGTTTTTAGCAACYGAGCAGGTTGGGAGATGGTTATTTCATTTTACYTACTGTTTTTCATGTCCTGGGGCTCTGAGATGTAAAATAAACTTAAAGCTGACTTTTTGAAAAAATCTGCTCATATACCTGCGAAATGGATAAAAATCTGTGCAATTTACAAACTGTACAACTTGACAGGTATGAACAGGCTCATGACACAACAAACTAACAAACTACTGTCTGAATGATCAAGGGCGTAATCACCATCTCAGAAGTGAGGGGGACAAATTTTTCAWGAGGTCTACTGAGTGATTTATCAAATTCTCATGTTCAATCACCTCTCTTTAGTGGCTGAAGCACATACAATCAGTAACAACCACAGTCCAGCACCAGGAAACTGACTTTAGTTCTTTAAAATCTAAAGTTTTATCTGACAAACTCTGGTTGAGTTGACACAATGACCCTACAACATCTACAGGCAAATGTAAATGATAACACTGAACATGTTCAACTGTTCAGTAAAACATAATATTAATTAAAAATAATAAATAAAATAATAAATAAACACATTTGCTATAAACAAGTTATTACTTAGCACACAAAATGTTAGTGACGTGGCAGCATATTTATAAGCCACATAATTTAATTTAATGGCATGGACAAAGATAATGACAGCACTAAACACATCAATATTTTTAGTCAAATATGATAACACAAATGTGCAAAATGAATCAAGCTAAAGAAAAATGACATGACCTACACCTGCTGCCTATAAGAAGAGCACAAATAATGCAATACAAGAGTCAAATATTTAAAAATTATTATTACTGAAACTCTATGATTTGGTTAATTGTAATATTTTACAGGTTATGTATAGGGCTCACAAAATCACATCATCCAATTACATTTAGGTAAAAAAGAGCTGTTTGCGAAACCTAAATTCAGAACCAAATTGAAGGGACGGTGTTCTTCAATCCAAGGAAAAAGATTATGGATAATCTGGAGAGTGATGTAAAGATGCCAGATCAATGTATGTTTAAGAGAATGATAAAAGTTGTTCAKTTGTAGAAATATGAAATAATACAGTATGACGTGTGTCTATTTGTTGCTTGAGAAGGATTTAATGTTGTTTTTGTTATTTAAAGATTATTATTTTTATTGTTTGGAAAAAGGAGCAGATATAAGATTTTTTTCTTCTTTCTGCTGCCTTTCATTTTATTTATAATTTGCATTTTTTATATGAATATAGTAT